CTTTTTTTTTTTTGGGGGGGGGGGCAGTCAATGCTCCAACCAACTGACACACCCAGTCAGGGCTAGGGGACATTTTTTAAAGAAAAAAAATCAGAGTAAACTTTATTGCTATTTTTGTTGCCTGAACATTGAAATATTTACTTCCAGAAAGACTTAGGTTTCCCTTTTTATTAGCATCTCAAGAGCTTACTGATTAAGCAGCTACAGAAAGGAGTAATTTCCTTCAACTGATGAATGCAAGAATTATCACCTGGCATTAGGCCAACCTGGGCTGGCACCAAACCATTTTCATTTTCTAGGAATAAAAGTTATATAAATTGTGCTGTTGTACATTAAAAAATCCAGAATGCACATGTTAGAAAACAGTAAAACACCACCTCCCTAAAACCAAAAAACCAATTACCCTGTCTGCAGGTTTTAATACAGGTTCATTTTTGGTCCCCAGTTTATTAAGCAGTGTGTAGGCCAACTTTAGACTTCTGCTCCACAACTTTCCTGGAAAAAGAAAAGAAAACAGTCATGTAGAAAACCAAAGGCGAAATCCCCACGCCCCAGCACACCCACGCCTTTCTTCCCTCTTGGGCACACATCGCTTAAACTCTAAGGGTCCCCATGAGACTTGCAACCTGAGGAAGAAGGGGCAGTGGTAGCTTGTCCTGGGCTAACTGCCTGAACCTGTCTGGAAGGCCCCCTTTACTCTGACTTTTCAGTGAGCTAAAAGCAGCCTCTCCTTTGGCCCACTTCTGTCACTGTGACTTTAACTTTCAGGTGGTCCACACAGCCCTGCATGGCTCACCTTCCTATAATATTTCTAGAGAGCCAAAGCTGCCCCGCCTAGGCTCTCTCCCGGTGCTTCTTCTATCTCAAGCCCTTCCTTTGTCTCACTATCCTCAGCTTTAATAAATGTCCTCTCAAAAAAAAAAAAAAAGAAAGAAAAAGAAAGAAAACCACAGGCCTAGATCAGCAAGAGGGCATTCAGTTCCTAAGCACATTTAATAAGACAATGGCCACTTCAAAATGATGCATTAGACAAGCATGGCCCCCAACAGAGAGCTCCTCCCCCACAAAAAATGCTTCATGTTCACTCTAGTTTACAGAAAGTCAGTCCTGCCTCCAAACAACAAAAAAACCATCACCATAAGCTCATTCTGGTTTAAACAATTTTTCAAATTCTTTTCTGAAGTAATCTGAGTATCTTTAGAAAGAGTGTGATGTGAGTTGATCACACTTAAAGGGAAGAAAACCATTGTTTATCACAGGACTGAAAATCAAAAGACTACATCATTCTTAGCTTTTTCTGAAGAACCATTTACAAATATGATATTAGATACCAGAAGTAACTGCAAAGCAAAAATATTCAAATAATTAAGCATCCCATACCACTGTATCTCAGTGAAAACAGACAATAAAATGAAAATTAACTATGTGAAACGTGGATATATTCAAAGATGTTAAATAAACATGTAGAGATTTAGCCAGCTAACTGCTTTCTTTACGGGGTATGTGGATGAAATTAATGTACAGCTTCTGAAATGAATGCTAAAAACGATTTGGGGGTGAAAAGCCTATTCTCCCCTCTTCATGCTGCCTTCCTTCAATCATTCTTAGAAATTCTTACTTTAGATTATGAAACAAGTAAAAGATAAATTGTATTATTTTCAATAGATACATTAATTTTACATATAACACATTCAGGGGGCATCTTAAACTTGTGTCAATTTCCACAATTCTTTAAATAAAAACAATTTTTCCTCTAAAATTATTCTGTATTCAGGCATATGGACAATGTGCTCCACTTGTGAAGGGAAAAAGGAATCTGTCTGAATAAACTAGTACAAAATCTCATGGCCCAGGCTAAATCTACTCTTCTTATTTTTTTTAAAGTTATTTTTTAAGAATTCATAAAAGAAAAATAATTTACTTTAAAAAGTTATTTACAAAAAAGGAGACATCTGTAATACTTTCAACAATAAAGATAAATTTAAAAGAAATAAAAATGAAAAATAAAAAATGTTATTTACAAAAGAAAAAGAAAAACTTTAGCTAGGATGCAAAACTAAATGGAAAAGTGCTGATTCTTTGTTTATTATAGAATTCTGTGCCTATTATAAGAGGCAGGATGAAGTAAATGACAAAGATCTAAAAAGTAATCAATTTTAATTTTTGGAGAAAACTACGTGGTTTTTATCATATACCATTAATTGTGCCCAAATGTCTTCCTAAAATCCTCTCCTAATGTTAAAACATCAGTGGATACACAAAGTCTCTTTCTTCTTTTTTGCTCTGTAAAATATAAGCTGGCTTGCAAATGTCATGTTAGCAAATGAAAATATTTGGCAATAGCTGTACTTAGAACTTAGGATCTCACAAAAATAAAAGATCTACTGAAACACAATGACCAGCAACTGCTAAATACCAACATAAAAACACCACCCATGCCCAGTCGGAGTGGCTCAGTGGTTGAGCATTGACCCATGAACCAAGAGGTCATCAGTTGATTCCCAATCAGGGCACATGCCAGGGCTGCAGGCTCTATCCCCAGCAGGAGGCATGCAGGAGGCAGCCAATCAATGACTCTCTCTCATCACTGATGTTTCTCTCTCTCCATCTCCCTTCCTCTCTCTGAAATCAAGAAAAACATATTTTTTAAAAAACAAACAAAAAAAGCCCCACCCATGATAACCTGAAGAATTATTAAGAGAAAAGAAGGTGCTGGAATCTTGTAAACTCACCGTATGTGAGAGTGTAAACTGGTTTTCCTGTTACATCCAGTGCAGTCAGACAGGGGCACTTTGCCTGAGTGGTGCCCCAGCGCTGCAGGGCAGACTCAAGAGCAGGAGGCCAGTTACAGATGACTCCTAATGGCTCTCCCTTCACAGGGGTCATCTGCCGTCCCTCAGGCTTGGGCTGGTTGGGGTCCGGCTGAGGTACTGAAACAAAAAAACACCAGTGGGTTATGAAAATAAGATCTGATGTAAGTATAAACACCAACCAACAAAACTTAGATTGCTAATCCCAAATATATTTCCCTTTTCCCTTCATTTTTATCTAGTTTGAACTCACTCTGAGAAAAGAAAGAACATCGTTAGAAGTGGTAATCCACAAACTGGGCATTAATTCATTTCCCCACAAAACTGTAAAATCATATTTAATATATTTTCTGCAACAAGCAAATCCTGACCCTGACAAAGCAAATCACCAAACATATAGAAAAGCAAAGTATAAATTTCCTTTCAGCAGTTTCACAATTTTTAGTAAACTTGTTTTTAAATCTTTAGTTTGTGTCCAATGTTAGAGCCAAGTTCCATTTCACCAGGTTATATTCAATGAAAAAGCACTGACTGTGAGTCAGGCAAACCAAGTTTACATTCGCTTTTTACTAGCGTGACCTTGAGCAAACTTAGTTACCTGAGTCCTGTTTTTCCTCATCTGTAAAATGGGGACAGTAGCAATTATACCACAGGGTCAGTATTAAAGTCAAACCAATAATGGACACAGATGTTCCTTCCATGTCTCTGCACCCTACACATATCTCATATGGTCAATCCCTTTGTCTCATGATGAACTCATTCTCAACCCTCTCAGGATACAGCTCAACTGGCACATTCCCTGGGAAGCCAGCCTGGGCCATTCCTTCCTCAGGGCTCCCACACTATGTGGCAGTCCACCCTTATTAAAGCACTGAGGATCCTCAAGGCCTTCTGATACTATACAACTCTGCCCTAAGCTTTTTGAGAGAAGGCATGGTTCTTACTCTTCTTATTGTCCATAGCGCCTAATACATAATGGCTGCTCAATCAATTTTAATTAAATTGAATGGAATTTGGAGATTAAAAAAAGCTCTATATTATTAACATGATCATTCCAGAAACTGGCAGTGAATAGTATTTCATATTCTTTCATAAAGACAAAACTAAAGTCCTCTTAATTTTTCTGCAATAAATATTATTCAAATAATAAAGAGCAAAAAAATCCTATATATTCATAGCAGGAAAGATAATTTACACATGGAACAAAAAATCAAGTATTTATTGAGTACCAATTATGTACATAGGATGTGATAAACAGTGGGAAAGTAAACACTGCCTATGTCATTCTTTTTTAAAAAATATGTCTTTATTGATTTCAGAGAGAGGAAGGGAGAGGGAGAGAGAAACATCAATGGTGAGAGAGTCATTGATTGGCTGCCTCCTATACGCCCCTGACTGGGGATCGAGCCCACAACCTGGGCATGTGCCCCAACCGGGAATCAAACTGTGATCTCCTGGATCCTAGGTTGATGCTCAACCACTGAGCCGCACCTGGCCCGGCTGCCTGTGTCATTCTTGACAAATGTTTATTCTTTCAAATAATGCTAGGTGCAAGGATTACAGAGTCTGTGCCCTCTGGGAGTATCTAGAGTACAATATAGACACATCCTCACACACAGAGCAAGTAAACATGAGTAGTGCATGACAGAGATATGTATAGAAAGGGAGGGCAAAAGAGGGCCACATCATCCAGCTTAGGGGATGGGGTCCCCCACGTGTAGGAGATAATGCCTGAGCTGAATCTTAAAGGAAGAGTAGGAATTAGCCAGGTGAATGGGAGGTGAGAGAAGAAGCATAAAAGGGACAATGGACAGAATGAGCAACAAATATTAGATGGGCAATTGAAATATGAAGTAAACTGTATTTTATAGGTCAATTTAATGACAGACTTGAGCAGCTCACTAAAATGTCTTAATTAGTTTCACTTCCTACATCACTGCCCGAGGTAAATAATATTTCAGCTGTCCTTCTATTTTGTATGTTTCCAGAAACTAAACCATCAGATTACGTAAAGAAAAAAAAAAAGAACATGAGTGATTCTAAATAAATGGTTTTGGTTTTACAAACAGACCATACATATGGTAGACACAGTCTTCTAGTCATAAAAGTCTACATTACTGCCATCCACTAGGTCTCCATGCAGACCCTGGGGCACACCCTTTCAGGCTTCCAAAGGCATATGGGTATCTCTTTTCCAAAGGTAATCTTATTCAAATAAACAACTGTTGCCTATTTATAACTAGTGACAAGCTGTGAGCTCTATTCTGCCAATGCAAATTGTTCCAGTATGATTTCTATTAAACCTTGACCTTCATTTGCCTGGTCAATATATAGCACTAAAGACTGGTGGGGCTACTATTGGCATGGGCACCTTTGAATATCAGTGCATCGAGAAAGATCCCCTTAGCTTAATGAGTTCAGTGACTCCTAAAGAAACAAAAATTCTTCTTACCCTCATGTACCAGGTTGCTTGTTGCTTCCTGCTGCATAAAGTGGGCTAAGACCGGATCTAGTCTACTCATATGCCTATTTCCAGTAACAGGTCTAATGTGATCAAAGCCTACTACTAGTCTCAGGATGTAAAAATGGAGTACAAAGCAACCAGGGCTTAGTTAGCTCTTTTGACAAAAGCTTTTGTTAGGTAAGTCTATTTGTCATCTAGCTTCAATAATTATCAAATGATCACTTTCATTTCATCTATGCCCCCATGTGTTCTCCTCCCAATCCTTCCTAGACATGTGATTTCATCCATAAAGTTTTTAAATTACTCAATGAGTAAGTCACTATTACCACTTCCTCTACAAAGCCTTCCCTAACTACACAGATGGAACTGATTTCTTCCCTTCTCCAACTGCCTGCATTAGTTGATACATACTTATTGGCTAAACTCAGTTTTCACATGTAAATATTCTCACACCAGTCTAAATTGTAAACAACATAAGGAAAAAGAAAGTGACTGATTTTTATTAAATTTTTCACCATCTACCACGTTATCTTATAGAAAGCAGACATATATATGTGTTGATTTAACAAAAAGTCTGAGTTATATCAAAAAGACTGGGAAATTTTTGAAGTTGCATATGACATCAGTATTCTAGGATAATGTCAAATATAAATAATTTTTTAAATTATGTGTTTGGGGAAGTTCCAAATTTCAAAGAGCATGTTTTTCAGATAGGTCAATGCTCCATAGTTCTCTCTTTGCTTTTCTCTCCCCTCCCTCCCCTCCTTATATTTCATCTGAGATTTAAAATATAAATGATCCTTAGGGGAAAAGAGTGGAGAACTACAAATTTTTTCAACCAAAATCGATGCCTTGCTCATCCTTAAATCCTTCAGTGCCTGACATGTAGTAATTTCTTAAGAAATGTTTGTTTATGGAATGTATGTTTTTGGTACTATTACTACTACCTTCCACAATTTCTTCAGAGTCATCCACAAAAAATTCTTTTAAGGGAGGCCTTTTGGGTCGTTTCAGAGTGTTGAGAAGCTGTTGGATTTTTGTGGATACTCTGCTACTGACAGGAACACCTATAAGGGAAAAAACGGTAAGTTAAAATTAATTGATTTTAGGGATATTTTAGTTCATCAATTCTCTTAGGAGCTTTTCTTTTTAATGATGTTTGGCCTTTGCCCACAATCTCATCCTATTTCAACTGGGACAAGTAAGTACACATATGTCCATGACAAGTTTTGACAAAAGAGAACAAATATGGTGCCATTATTAATGTACTCCTTAAAGATTTCACCTAATCTCCCTTTTCTTTTATAGCATTCTATTCTTTTTCCTTATTCAGTTTTTTGTTCAAAGTATCTTCTGAAAGTACAGACTAAGTGTGAACAAGTGTCAGTGCGGCCACAGTGCAGGCTACTGAAAAGAGGGAGCTCAAGATGACTTGTGTTACTAGATTTCTAACAAAAAGAACTCCCTACCATCAGCTGTATCCATAAGGCTGGACCTGTTGGATCCTTTGTGCATGCCTTTAACTATCCCCGAGGGGGGCAGGTCAATATTTGCTGGGCGTACTGAGGAAGATGATGATGAAGAAGAGGTAGTTGTAGTGACGTCAGGGGGAGCAGAGAAATTCTCTAAGAGGGGAGAAAACAAAATTTAGAATTATATTACATTAGTAGTAAAAATAATAATTTTTAAATCTTTATTTTTTGTTTTCTGCTTTTTAACAAGGAAGAAAACTATATAAATAGGGAATGAGCTCTTGTAAAATGACCTCTGAAATCAAATTCTACTAGCAAGATATAATGAGAGAGCAAGAGGTTAAGCCAGGGCTTATGAGCTTTCCAAAATTATTTTTAAAAACTCAAGTAGCCTTATTAAGATCAAATCCTCTATCATATGTTTCTCAAAAACATTCTCTTCTACATAGAAAGGCTGGTAAAAAACCAATGTTATATAATCATAATAAAATAAAAATTGCAAATAACTTCAAAATGAAACCAAGTGAGTATGATTCTGTAGCTACTAATATTCTAGTCTATTGAGCATGTTTATGTTGGTTTATCTATAATATTTCTTCTTCCACTGAAGACAGAAATAGTATCTTGGGAATGGGTCAGACCACTCAAGTTTCCAGATGAAGAAAACCAGATAAGTCTACTTCTAATTTTTATAAAATGACCCACAGGTAAGTTGGATCTACTACACAGACAAGGTTCTTCCCTTGCTCTAAGCATCATTAGTGTTACTGTATCCTGCTTCACAAAGGGGTTCTCACTATAAAGAATCTGAATGACATCAGCTGGAAGAAAGCCATTCAGCAGGGGTGTTACAAAAAAATTAAGAAAAAGAAAACATCTGGAGAAGTAAAAAAATAAAATTAGAAGAAGTAAAATATACAATTCACAGGAATAATGAAAAGCCACTCTAAACTATAAAAAGGGGAAAAAAATCATAAGATGAACAATTTAAACCATAATATAAACAATTTCTAAAATCAATTTGGAAGTAAGGTCTCTATATCCCAAAAGTCTGTAATTACTAGTTTAAGAGTTTTTAAAGTTTTAAATACAGTACCAACTAAAAAATAAATAAATAATAAATACAGTACTACACAAGTGTACTGCAGTATATCCCTTCTGTAGGATAATGTGGTAACAAGGCGTTAAAAACAGACATTTCTATCTGACCCAGCAATTCCACTTAAAGGAATACATACTAAGGAAATAATCAGACAAATGCACGAAGTTTTGTGTTAATGGATGTTCATCCCAGCAGTTTTTATAACAGCAAAAAAAATGAATAACACTTAAATGTCCAAAATTGGGTAATGGCTAAATGGACCAGGACAGGCTATGCAGTGGCATATTTTGAAACCATAAAAAATAACAGTATAATTCTGTATTAATGATATTACAGATGTTTGTGATACACTGCTAAGAAAAGCAGATTATGAATGTTATGGTTAGTTCAATTTCATTTTTGTAAAAATAAAACCTCCATATTTATATGCAAATCAAGTCTAGAAGGATATATGATAAAGTGATAACACTAAAGTGTTATCCATGGAAAGTGGGTTTACAGGCTGAATTATTTCTTTTAAAACAAACATCTCAAAGGCAATAATGTTGGATAAAACTATTCTCTTTTAGGCCAATGTGAAAATCAGACCTGACCCAACCATGACAAGTTGCTTACCCTCCCAAATGGAGAGGTGGTGAGCATGCTCACCTGTAGCTGCTTTAGGAGGTTCAGTGAGTTATAGGGCAGAATGGAGAGTGCAGGACAAATCATTGCTGTTGGCACTTGGCTTTTAAGTGTGGGCAATCATACCCTCAAGGTAGCTATTTTCTTTAAAAATAATTGGCTTGAATTGAAGTTTTTCTAAGTTTTTCTTTTTAATTAATAAAATAAAGATACAGGTGCATTCTCCCTCCTGAGAGCATACCCGTGCCTTTCCCCTCCCTTCCTTCTTCCCCCAAGGTCTGTTCCCTTGACCTTTCTCTGTCTTAAGCTCCAAGGGCCCTTTTCTTTTGCTTCTATAACTTTCTAAATACATTTTCTCTTATAGTTTAAAAAAACAAAATAAAGATATATATATATGTAAGGTGATAAAAAGGTCACTGCTGAGAAAATTAAGACACCAATGCAATTGATTGTCTAGAAAAAAGGGGAAAGTATAACAGACACATGATATAATGTTCATATACATCACTTAGTGTGCGCACCAACCAATTAAGCAAAAGCAGAGATCTGAGCTGTATCTTTATCTGCAGATGTCACAACCTCTTTAAAAACACACATGAAAAAACATAAAGCAGAGCCAAGCAAAAGCTACATACACACCATACAGGTGCATCAGCAGCACATAGCAGCTCACAGAGTCCCAACATTCTCAAGCTGCACACTCTAGCTGTAGCAATAACACAGCAGCAAGGACAATAAATCCAGTCTTTACGCTAAAGACAAAAGGGCCTCACTGAAATTGTCTTAATACAGAATTTGCTCAGATTTAGTGTTTTGTGTTTGAGAGAACGTAGACAACAATCCTGGGGAAAATCTAAGACGTTAATATTTTAACACCTTTGAACAGATGGAATATTCTTCAACAGGGATAAGCCCTCACTAGACTGGTGTTGTATCTTGCAGCTTGAGTATTGCTTGCGGAAATAGCTATGGCTTCAGGTTGACAACTCTATGCACCAAAAATGCAGATGATAACTATCATTCCAAATGTATTGCTGATGTTTCCTTCTTTGCTCATTAACTGTCATGTTCTTTGATTCTACTTTTTAGGCCACTCTGGAAAACCTAATACAAATAATAAACTCTTTCCTGGACACTGGGAGCCAAATGGAACATAATTTGGGCTTCTTGGGTAGATCCAGCTCCTACCTATACGAGTATTGGCAAATACATCAGCTAAAGACCCACTGGTTCCTTTGACCTCTCCATGGGACAGCGTAGAAGATGCGGATGAAGAAGTGGACGATCCCTGAATTGAACGGTTGATCCAGGACTCAGCATTCTGTAAGCTCTGTTGTAAGGCAGCAGAGAGCGCAGCTTGGCGTCTCAGAGAGCCCTCATCCTCAGAGGCCGAAGACGTGTCTGTGTGGAATTAGAAAAAAAGTTGTTCTCGATCCTGCCTAGAACAGAGACCTTTCACTTCTTGCTCATTGATCACACATTCAATTTTGACACTAGTAAAACATTCACAATCTTAAGGTAAACTACTATGTCAAGTTTCTCCAGAATCACAAGGAAAGGTGTATGGACCAAAGCCTGCAAAAATAAAAGTCTAAATCTGTAGGTAATTTTAAATTATTTTTTAAAAACCCTTTTAGAACATTTGAACTTCATTCACTGTTTTTCTGTTCCACGTTTAATCAATATCTAAGTTCTTTGACTTATCTTACTTATGTTCAACTAATTCTGAAGTGCTTATATATCATCCTCAATCTCTTAATTATAGAGCCCTAGGACAGGATGCTACACTGATTCTGACAAGTACTTATTAATTAGTATTTACTTAAAAGGAAATAATCTTGATAGGGGGAATATAAAAACTTATTTTTATTAACAATGACTTAAGTGTCAGTGAGAGACTTGGAAACATGTAGAATAAGAAAAAATGCTTAGAGTAGAGGCATTCATAGTTTTAGTGGAAAAGACAGCTGGTCACTGGCACAGGTAAGCTTTCCAAACATGGCAGGAGAGGGCACTGATCTCTCCTTCATTCTCAGAGAATAATTGTGAGAAATTCACTGATGTCTGTATTTAGCCTGGCTCTGACTTCAGGAAAATAAGGCCTAAATTAGAAAAGCATGTTAAAAAAAAAAAAAAGTTCAACCAAATATAGGATAGCCAAGGGCAGCAGAAGTCAGGGATTTGTTCCAGGCTCTACGCTGACGAGGCATACAAGTTAAGGGGCATTTGGTCTGACGTGAGACCAACCCTTTTAAATGATTTGGGGGGGTTATAATTTATAGCCTGTGGATTGAATTTCATTCATTTTTTTGAAATTAAATATTCTGTGGTTAGTCCTGCTGAATACTTTCCTATAACTGAGGTGAAGGAACTGTAGGTCCATGTTTCTACTTTGGCTCAAGAGCCAAAGAGATAACATTGCTGGTACCGACAATTGAAATTTGAACCACAGAAGACTAATTTAATCTAGAAGTTAAATATTGCAGGACTAGAGCAAGAAAGTTTACCCTTGCTTCCTGCTCTGGACTACCTCCAAATTATTATCTCATATTGAAGGAGATATGAAGCGCAAGACTGATTTTTACAATGTACTACATAGCTACAATATATGCCAGGAACTACTTCAGATTCCGGGGATTCTGAGATGTGTGAGTTCTTATGAGACAGGAAGGGCCCTAAAAAGGCTTACAGTCTAGTACAGGAGACACACAACCCCAGAATGTTTCACAGGAATAAAAGACACCGCTAAGAAATAGAGTAAGCAAAGGGTTTCACTCCAGGGGCACCAATCCCAGCTGGGGATTTCAAGTACTTCTACGTAAATGAAGCAAAGACTTTGAGGAGGTCAGGGGCAAGAGATGAGGCTGGAGAGATAGATAGTGACCAGACCCCAAAGGGATAAAGCAATGAGGTTCTTTAAAGGGGAAAGAGATCTACAATGCAAAATGAGGGTGATATAAAGAAAAGTAATAGCATCTATAATGTTTCAAGGAAAGCATTTTGCATAATTTCCAGAAATTGGGAGAGAGAGGTTTCTGTCTTTGCAAACAATGCTAAAGAAAAAGGTGAGGGGGTGTGTGGGACAGGTGAACCTGACCCCAAGAATAAAGTATTTTCAGGGTACAGATAATACATCTCTGGATCCCATAAACTCCATTAGGTTTGCAGGCTGTCTTTATTGAATCATTTATTTTAATTTGTGTAAGTCTAAAATCAGAATAACCTAATTTTCAAAAGATAGTAAAGGCGGTATTTTCATGATTAGGTTTATAGAAAATAGGCTTCATTATGTTTCTATATCAAATCAATTATGTAATTAGGTATATTGTTTCAATTCAATTTCCTCATTTGCCTGCCAGTCCTCCTCAGTGTTTAGTGACCACAACTGTGGGCAACTTGGCTTAGTATAGTGGAGAAAACAGATTTGGTGTCTGTCTTCCATTTCATCTCTGGAGTCCACCCCTTCCCAGCTTTGTGACTTGGGGGTAAAATTATCCATCTGAGAAGCCTGGCTGTTTGTTCAGTCATTCAATAAATACTACTAAGCGCTACACTAGTTTGATAGGAATAAAAACGGCGAGCAATTAGTTATAAGGAGCATAAAGGTGGGGAGAGTGAAGAGTCAGACAGAGGGAACAGCATATGAGAAAGCTTGGAAGGGACAGAAAACAAGGCACATTTAAAGATCTGAAAGAAATGAGACTAGCTGAAGCACAGGTAGTGAAGCAAAACTGGTAGTGATGAAAGATGATTCTAGGCAAATGAACAGCACTGGGTTGCTAAGGGCTGTGGCAGACATGCTAAGGAAACTGGCCTTTATGCTAATTGCAGTGGGAGACCATGAAATGAGACAGAGTCAGAGTCCAGAAAGCAGCACAGCAGTGACAGCACACAGCAGGTGGACAATAAACATTAGGTCCCCTTCTCCTCCCAGAAAAATCCACCCTATGTTACAGACACAGAACTGTCTGGGCAAAGCTTAAAGCTGATCATGTGCTTAAGATCACACTTAAATGTAAGCACTTCTCTGGGACTGTATCTTTTTAAAAATAAAAATGAGCTCCTTTAAATACTTACATGATTATTTAACTGTCACCCAGAAAATTGCAATGAATTAGTAAAATTTGGGCAAGATTAAATTAATATTAATATAAATAAAGTTATCACTTTCCCACTGATTCTGTTCTGGTTGAACATGAACTCACAACTGTTATTTGTCATAACTAAAGTTCCTTACCTAAGCTCTGTATATGATGAATACAATAGGTCTATACAACAAAAAACAATTCTGAAAACACAGTTTGCCCTTCAGTTTATAACTGGTACGATTTTAACACAGCATCATTTAATACTGATCACCAGAAGCCTAACCTCTATATATAACCAATTAGGAAACATACATAATTAGCTTGTTGATTTTAAGGAAAGAAAAATCCCAAATTTACTAACTGTTCTTAACTGCTGTAGCACCTTCAGTTTTTAGCAATGTGTGGAAATGACTCCCCTCTTCTTAGTGGAAAATATATTTATTACATCTAAAAATGTTTATTAATAAATTTAATTTATAAATTAAATTTAAAAATCTACCATATCCATTCCACTCCTGAGAACTGAAAGCATACCTATGCAAGGACTTGTACATGGATGTTCTAAGGAGTTTTATTAGTAATAGCTAAAAATACGAAACAACCTAAATGTCCATCGACAACTGAATGGATAAATCGTGGTGAATCTGTACGATGGAATACAGATTCCATCTCAGCAATAAAAAGGAATACACTACAGTACGGATACACACAATGTGAATGAATCTCAAAATAATTACACTGAATTAAAGAAGCCAAACCTTCCCCCCAAGCTCCCCAAAAGAAGTATAACTGTATGCTTCTATTTATATAAAATTCTAGACAACGCAGACTAATGTATAGTGACAGAAAACAGATCAGTGGTTACCTTGCAAAGATGGGGAAAGGTGGGATTACAAAGGGATCATCAGGAAACCTGGGGGGTTTGTTTATCTTAACTGTGCTGATGATTTCACGGTTTTTCTATGTCAAAACTTAGCAAAAATATGCTTTCGATATGTGCTATTTATGTCTATTGTAATTCAGTAAAGCTATAAAAAAACTAATTTAAAAAACTGTGGTGGTGAAATGACACCTTGGTGAGAGGGTGGTAATCTGGGAGTCAGTTTACACAACCTGAGGCAAAGAAAGTTTCTCTGTAGGCAAGGAAAAAGTTTGAAGCTTAGGGAAAAAATGTTAGAGATCCAAGAGCCAGCCTAGGAGCAAAAGCATATATGGAAGAGAAGATGAAAAGGTTAGTTCTGGAAGCAGGCCAATCTGAAACTACCTTGGACAACAATTCCGAGCAGCTTAATCTAGCACCAAAACCAACCAGGGTGCATGCATACTGATTCACCAGACAAGTGTCAGGGAGACTTTCATAACTACCCCAGAGATTTCAGCATCCCACACTAATCTGTCTCTGTGCAGAGAGCGGGCTGGGGCTGAAAATCACTACAAAGAGCCTAACTGGCAGGAGGTCCATGATTTGCCTGACCATTAATATCTAAACTGGAATACTTCTGAAAGAAAGGGCACTCACTATAAATAATTACTCCAGGGTTTCTCTACCTATAGGGGATCTCCAAACATTGTTCTTCTGGGTATTTTCCCAAATCTATGAAAAAGAGAACGCCCCCCCCCCCC